CGTTTAACTGATAGTAATATTCGGTCAAAATTAATTATTTCGGTTAACGGTTAAACGGTCAAAAGGAGCATCCCTAATTAGTAATGTTAATTTTGTGACCTGTAACCATTTAAAACATTAACAAAGCGAATCCTTTGTGATTCCAACGTCAACGTTTGTGATATTTAAAATAATCTTTTCAAATAAAACTGCCTCACCTGGTCTGGCATACCCTGAATAACGTGCAGCTTAGCAACATGTGGAGAACGGAGCTCAGGGAACGGACCTTGTAGGACCCACCACTAGATGCCCCTCACCCTCAGGAAAGAGTCTGCTGCTGATTCTCCAAACACGACGTGGTCAGCAGAATCGCTGGCCAGGTTTTTGCCCACCCTTTTATCCCCATTCCCTCTGAAGCTTTGCTGGTGGAGTGCCCAGTGCACTCGGACCTCTGTACGATCTCTCATAAAGCAACTGGGTGCAAACACAGCCTGGACGTATGGCTAGGTAAGGATGAATCCAAGGGCCCCAAAGCGACAAGGGCCCTAAAAAATGTAGGTTATCATTGAATTGGTCTGGGTTGGGGGCCAAATAAGGTAGGCTTTTATTGGGCCTAACATTTCTAGCTGCAACCTGGCCTTCACACCAAAAGGTTTAGTCTGTGGACCCTGAACTGGCACGAGGATGGGGTTCGAAAACAAGCTAAGTAATTCAGACTGATTAAAAACTCACTCCTCGTTTAGGTGGGATAAGAGGCAAATGTTGCAACGCTTGCTATGTAAGTTTCATACCACATCCGACATTTTAAGTAATTCAAGTAAACTGATCAACAAGTTAATGGTGCATAAGTCCATAATGAGTTCCAGGTCTTAATTGCTACTCTTACAGGCAATCTTGTCCAATCAGCCTCAAGTAAATAAACAAAAACAAGTGAAAACCAAATCATTGGTATTCAAGGTCAAATTCGCCTCTTGAGGACCCGAAACCAGAGCAACAAAAAGTATCCTGGGATGATCCCGATGTCTGGAAGGACACAAGCTCCAAAGACATAATCAAGGCAGGAGCTAAACAGAGCCATTAGAGGGGTCTCTTCACACAACCTCAGCCCCTCCCAGAACATCGACTTTCTGCCGGAGTTGTTTATTTTAAAGGGGGGCTGTGGCAGTGCTGTCAGCAGGAGCCCAGCTTAAAGAGGGGGTGTCCCTCCACAGGCTGGTGGCTGTGGTTCTATCTTAAAGAGGATGCCTCCGCAGAACGGGCACATGCCAACAAACCAGGGAGAACTGAAGCATACATGGGCACACCAGCAAATACCTATACAGTGCAGATTTACCTTTGAACAAGTGCTTTGCAGTACACATGCAATTAATAATCCGTAAGATGGAATATTTCATGTTTCTCAGCCCTTTCAGGATGACGACACACACATTTAGAGTCATTAAGAGTTGTTACTGACACGGTGAGCAGAGGAAATGAATTTGTCACAAAAAAGACGGCACCTTAAAACTCAAGGGGGGTAATTACAGTCACACACTCGCAGGAGAAGCTAAAGGGCTGGTAAATGGGGGGAAAAGCCTGCTATGCAAGATGCCTTTCATAAGTTATTTTCTTACCAGATGAAACACTTTTCAAGTAATTTATTGGTCAAAGTCAGAGCTGATTTATTAAGGAAAAAACATATGCCTAGTTAGTACCGAACAGCAGGGAACGAAGTAGGCAGGTGATTTCAGTAACACTTTACTTAAAACTGTCATCTATAGTGCACTATAGATACCTTTATAAGGCATTATAATGGTTGGTATAACAATTATGAAAGCATTTCAGCATCTTCTCCTGACAGGCATAAGGCATTATAGTGCTTCATAAGCTCAAATGAAGCTCTTCTCTATAATGTATTATAATGGTTGGTATATAAATTAAGGATGCTTTTTGAATTTCAATATGAAGATATCTTTAATGCATTATAGACGAGAGCTTCATAAAGCATTCTTAATGCATAATAAACATGGCTACAATGTGTTTTGTCTTTTTATAAATACAGTGGTACCTCAGTTCTTGAACTCATTAGAACTCGAATTTCAACCAGTTAAAAAAAATAAATGACCTACAATTCGATCTGAATCTCAGAAGTCGAACTGTGAACACCAACCTAAGATAACTTGTACGCGGGGGAAATGAGTCACACGGCACTTCTCTCAGCGGAAACAAAGGGTAACACAGGGACAGGACTGAAGCGATCGGGAAACACTGGGTTTAATTGAGAACAGGCAGAACAACCCAATGACGTTACAATGACCGAACTGGGGATACAAACTGAAATGCGGACTAAATACAGAGGACTAATGACAATAACCAGAAACAGCTGATCACACAGGGATTCCACACGAGGTAAATGAGGGGGCATGGCACACAGAAGGAGTGGACAATTGGGGCAGGACAGGGGTAGTTTTGGGGTACATTCTTTATCGTTTTGGAAGCCGTTAAGAAAAACGTGCTCTTGTTGTTTTATCCTGTTCATTTTGTGTTTAAACGCTAAAAAAATAAACATATTCAGGTGTAATTTTTTGGGGCCGGGAACCAAATAATTGGTTTTACATTACTTCTTAGGGGGAAAATTTGATCAGAACTCTTGATCAGGATTCTAACCCGAGTTCTGAACGGATTAAGTTCGAGTTCTGAGGTACCACTGTATTTATAACCATATTTATAATGCTTTAAGAATGCATTATAATGTGTTATGAATGTATTCATAGATTCTTATGGACAGGGCATTTATGGAAAAGTGTCATGATTTCTAATAATTATGGCTGGGGAATTTACTGCCTTAAGTGGTTGTGTTAGTTTTATAGTCATAATGCAATACCATTTCTTTGACTGCATTTATGCCAGGAGTATTTTGTTACCCAATAGAGAGAATAGTATGAGCAAAGATTTTAATACAGACTGATAATATTCTTTCCTGGGTTTAAACAATGTGAGAGTTTAGGTCATGATGTTGCATAGAATCCCAGAATTCAGTACTAAAATCAAAACTGCTATGGGGCGGGGCATGACACAGGCAGAGATGAGGGTGATGATCCATTTGCGGCTCACGAAAAAAACAGGGGTTTATTTAATACAGTTAAAAACACAAAGGGGAAAATATGTCAAAACAAACAGACCACAAGGGATCAAAACAAAAACAGGAAAAACCACAGATGAACAAACTAAAACAGGGCTCTTTAAATCTGGACCTCGATTCCAAATCCAGGCCTTGTTTTCAGTTCTCCCAGGTAGTTGGTTTAATAATTACTGATTCTGATTGGTCAGAGGCTTCACACCTGACTGACCGGTAAAGGAAGGTTGGAAAACCAGCAGTGCTCGGACCTCGAGGACCGTGATTTGAATAACCCTGAACTAAAGAAACCATAACTCAAAACAACTAGGGAGGACTAGGAAGACCAAATAGATAAACATCAGCATAGGCACCTAATACAATGACTGACAAAAAAAAAGCAAAACGAAGGCAAGGACTAAAATACACTGATGACTGGAACTAACAAGGATGGACAGGTGCAGAACATAAGACAATCAACCAATCACTGAAGGCGCAGGACAACGAGCAACAGATGGGCAATTAACACAGGCACTGGAGAAACAGACAAGGCACAGGCGAAATAACTAATACTAATGAGCACAGAACTAAGAAACCTACACAAAATAAAACTGAGAAAACAAGGAGGTAGTACACTAGAAAAAGAAACAAGAAAACAAAATACAACCAAAGCACAAGGAAGGCAAACCTAGAACGGGAAAACTTAAAAAGGAAAACAGAAAACATTAGTGAACAAATCAATAAAGACAAAATGACAGATGAAACTGGCTTCAGCCAGTCTCAAACCCATGGCCACAAACCCCATGGATTCTCAGCCACACACTCAACCCCCTAAGCTACACGGCAGCTGAAAAAACAGGGAAAACACCCAAGGGCGAAGGAGAAATAGGGAGAAAGGCAGGGACAAAGTGGAAAGGACAGGGTACAGACCCTGACACAAAACATTTAGTTAGCATCTCAGGGAAGAAGATACCTGGTTTAATTCATTTAAGAAATGCCAGATGGAGGCATACATAAGATAAAAATATTATTTGCGATATTTATTTTACTGACGGCTTATATATTAAAGGTCTTTCTTGTAATAAAGTGTACTTTGAGT